AATGGAATAGGATAATAAGTTCTTGAAACATGGCCACTTTGCAATGTCACAATTCCGAAATGTATCAAACGTTGCTGCAAATAAACGTTAGGATTAATAAAGAGTCAATGAAAACTTCATCACTTGAATTTCTGGAATTAGGAGTAATTCATGTGTTGCTTTTACGAATAGATTTTATAATTTATTTAATTCTATGAGAAAAAGTGAATTAAACACGTACTTAAATAAAATTTATGCAAGCACAATAAAACCGGTTGTTGAGACATCTTAAAAAAATATTTTTCCATCAAAGGTTTCGCATGAGATATAGATTTTTTCAGTTGTATATGAAATGTCTGAATTAATGAAATTATGTTAATTTGGCTCCAGCGTAAATCGTTTTTTCTTGTAAATATCGAAATCTCTATACAATATCGATATAATTCGAAATATTGAAAAACTCATGTTCTATCTAAATTCATTTCATGTTGTCAATTGTGCTGGCGATGGTATAGAATATTCGTTGTTTGGAAAAGGTAGTATCGAATAGATGAGACAATACCTATAGTTTCCAATGGGATACGCTCCGTCGCCTGCAAATATTGAATTCTAAAAATAGGGTCGCATTGTGATGGCAGTCTTCGCCTTTTATGTTCCATTTTATTAAATTCAATACCTACTAAAAAGAAAATCATATTTTTTTGTTGCACCTGTTATTAGAACCGCTTTTACGTAGAACAAATCTGATCTAAAATAGGCTGTAACTGTGTCGTAATAATTTAAACATTCCAAATCCATTAATCGCTCTCTGTACAAATAGTGTGGAATGTTTAGTGAATATACTTGACTGGTTGGGTTCTTGGAAGTGAGGATCCTTTTTATAATTGTCATCCACCTTATATTAGCACCACAAACAAAGTTTATTCCACATTATTTACAATGAAAATTTTGACATTTTAATTTTGAAACAGCTACTTTGTTCATGTTCTCTAGATGGTAATGTCAACATTCCGCTAACTTGTTTTCAATTAAAATGAATGTCGATTAGTGTAGAATAATTGGTAACTTGCAATCGATTGATAACTGACTTCAACTTGAGTCAGTCTTCGTTTGCAAATTAAAATAAAAAAAAATACGTAATTTGCAAATTCATTATTTGTTTGGTAACTATATGAAGTAATAATACGGCATTTTTTAGGGAGATTAACTTTATGTGGCATTTTGGTATATTTTTTTTGTTTTGCTCCCCGGACGTTTTGACTGCATTTCTATTTGAGATCTTCAAAAGCGATACATATTTTTCATTTCAGTTATCAATGAACGACTTCAGCGTGCATCGCATTATCGGGCGAGGCGGTTTTGGCGAAGTATATGGATGCCGAAAAGCCGATACGGGAAAGATGTACGCGATGAAGTGCCTGGATAAAAAACGCATCAAGATGAAACAGGGCGAAACTTTGGCGCTCAATGAACGTATCATGCTTAGCTTGGTTTCTACTGGACAGGTAAGATATTTCTAAAAAGTGCGTGGTTTTATTTGACATACAGTAAAGTCCGCTTATAATCAACGCGGTTATAGTGAACTTTCGGTTAAAACAAACTTTTTTTCTTTAATTGAAACGTCGTCCATAAAGAGCAACGAATTTTTTTGCTGGTTATAACGAACTTCCGGATATAACGATCACTTTTTAGGTTAGTTGTATATTCACTTTCCGTTTATAACGAACTTCCACGCTCAGCAACACGAATCGTGCAGAGTTGTTTATATTAGTGAGAGCAAGAAACAAGCAGTGACTTGTTGTTTTTTGCCGCGTTATGTATGCAAATCGTTTTAGAATGGAAAAACAAAAACGCAAAGCTTTTTCACTAAATGAAAAGTACGAGATTATTAACAAAATAAAAAGTGGAGTAAAGCAGAGTGACATTTGTAAGGAATTAGCACTTGTTGCAACAATATGGAAAAACAGAGAAAACATTTTATCAGCGTATGACAAAACAAATGTTAGATGTAGGAAGTTAAAATTATCTGCACATGAAAA